AGGCAGGCAGTTGAGCTCGGAAAGCAGCTTATAGAGGCGTTCCCTGCTTTCGGGCAAGCACTCGATTCGGTAAGCATCCGCCTAGTCAGTGGGTGTATATATGATATGTAGCTGCAGCAGTTTCCCCTTTTGAAGGCTTTCCTGAGGTATCCAACTCCTTTTTTTGCGACACGCGATTTCTTCAGGCTGGTAGAGGTTCTGGAAGCTTTACGACGAGCTGTCACCTCAAGGCCGCTGATGTCTTCCGTGGACTGCCAGACCCCGCATTTTTGGCATCACGTCTGGCGTCGATGGCGGCGCAGTCAGCATCTCGCCGCGCGAAAGCAGTGGCCGGAGAATATGCCTGGTTACCAGATTCAAGTGAGTTTTGGTGCCGTGATTGTGCGAACAGGCGCCTTTTCCAGGCCACACAGCATAACATACACTGTGCGAGATACGCTAGGGCGACAGTTGTGCAAACTGCAACGAGGCAAAGGTGCTTGTGTTTCTTTCACATATGTAGTATAGCTTCTCGACATCATCTGATGCATTTTCCTTCAGTCTACAAGGCACTGGATGATGAACGGAACGCATGGAGTATGGCGACACCGCCTGCTCGCTCGCTGGTGCTTCGTGCGGAAGAGGCCACCTGCGTCCCAGCAGCAGATCTGCTATCGATTCAGAAACACATCGCATCCGGTATGGCACTTTGGTAGCCCCTGTCGCGACCTGGTTGCGTATGCTATAAGTATTCAACTGTACACCTCCGAAAACTAAAGCTGTTCAGCCGAGCGTTTTCTCTCTTTTGTCGACTCCGTATCGGCCAACCGAAGTGTGTGTCCTCTCTATCTTTCCCATCGGATTGTTCTCTCGCTGTTTCCCTGCGCCTTTGGCTTTCTTCAGCATTCTTACGACTACGGGAAGTCCAGCAGGTGAAGGTCGGGGAGTTTAGATTTGTATACACGGTAATGGCCCATTTGGGCCAGCGTGTGGCCTACGCCCGGTTCCGCGGGTCTGTTCGTCAAGGTGCCCGTGGGACTGCCTGTGGGTTTGCATCCAAGTTTGGTAGTTGCAGAATAAGATGCAAATACAATGATAGCGGAGCTACACCCAGTTGTGCTGCAAGTAGGCCAGCCTTGGAGGCCGGGGAGACAACGCGTGGGTCGGGGCCCCATCCGTTCACGAGAGGTGCCGCCTATGTGGAACCCGTAGCAGTAAATCTTACATTGAAGAATCAGTTGAATTTCAGAGGACTCAATTTGAATCAGCAAGACCAGAACCAAAAAGCAGAGATTCGCGGGGAGGCGGATGCGGAATTCATACTTTCTCAGATCAGCGCAGCGGAAAGAGTGACACTGTTTCAGAAGCAGTTGGCTTTCCTGGAGGATCTGTGCATCGAGGTGCTACTGGACGAGCCGTGTTTGGGTGAGCTGCCTAAAGAGGTGCTGTGCCACTCTCAAGCTCTGCGCTGTCTACTCCAGTGCATTCTTATTGTGGCGTGTAGTCGCATGGTTTTTCATTTTTACAGGGGCTTCGAACGGAAACGGAAGCATTGACACTCTCCGAATTCTCCTTTGCCCTGCAAGCCACTGGCTACCCCTCTGGTGTAAAGTGAGTCTATTTGCCACAGTTTGTAAAACACAAACTAGGCGATAGCTGGTCCTTCTAGCTTGTAGAGGCG